CTTATAAATGATCTTGTATATATTCGTTTTCTTAATGCTTAAAAATTTAATTATAAATAATTTTAACATACCGGTTAGTAACAAATTCGAACTCTTCTCTTATTTCTTCTAATATTAATAATACTGATTGTTTGTTTAATCGAAATCGCATTTTAAATTCTACGTCATTTAATACGTCAAAATAATTTATACGTTGTTTAAATTGCCTTTGTCTTCTGCGTTGTTCTTCATCATTATTTTCATTATTGGAGGATGACAGCACAAGATTAAATAAATTTGCCATATCCGAAAAATATAGGTTAAGAGGACTTTCTTGTGTCAGATTAGCTAGTTACATTTTTAACCTGACAGTTAAAAAGCCTAAACGGTGAAAATCGGCCGTTTAAATTGAACTCAATTACACAAGTTTAAATTTGAACAAATCATTGGTTGAAATCAATATTTGCTAAACTTTGGTTAACCAAATGTCATTAGAGATTAACTCTTTAAACTGCATTGGTAGAAACGGGCCTTAATTACATATGAATTATAGCCTGTTCTTTTTGGCTGAACTTTTGTACCAGTTCATCTTTCTTCTTCTTTCTTCCTGGAGAGAAAAAGAAGAAAGATGAACTGGTGCAAAAGTTCACCCAAAAAGAACAGGCCTTTAGTGTACACTAGTGTACACTTTTAGAACTTAAAGTAAAATAGGTATATGTCTGATATTTCTCGAAAGCAAGAAAGAGAATTCTAGTGCAGGAACAGAAGACAGACCACTTGTTTATTTGGATCGTGGCTTAATAAGGAAGCAGCAGATTGAAGTCGGCTGCATCGTTATGATCGAGTTTGCTGGCATATGGCTAGCGTACTACTAGCATTTTACTATCTGGGTTATTGACAAATAATAACTATTGGGCCACCACAATAGTTATTATTTATTTATTAATTAATTAGGTCCTTAATGGTAACCGTGACACTTATAAAGGATACGGTTGGAGAACTAATATAGAAACTTATAAGATCGAATCTATTCGTCAATGAAGACGTGATGATTGAGTGTTAGTTATATACTATGTTTACACGGCACGCTTTACGCCAAAGTTATAACATTGATGTTATGAAACTGGCCAATCACAATCATTCCATTCTTCAGAGGAATAGCTATGATTGGCCAATTACATAACATCGATGTTATAACTTCGACGTACAGTGTGCCGTGTAACAGAGGTCACTGTTACCATTTATATTTTGGCAAACTGAAAATAGTTGTTACGATATTCAATCAGTAAAATTTATAAATTTTTAGATCATTTATGAAAGAAATATATTTTAATTATACGCGTTCCATCTTTTTGACAATATCTATTAACCAGATATGTCAGTTATACAATTAAAGATGAACGCACATAGAAGTAGAAATAAGCAGCAAGCAGTAAGCAGTAAGCAGTAAGACGTACGAAGTAGGCAATTAGCATTGCCAGTATATCTATACATGAAAGAGACAAAGGCTTACGTCTCATTGCTTACTGCTTATTTCTACTTTTATGTGCATTCACCTTTACATTAGAATGTTCGTGGATTATCAAAGTAGCAATTCCCGTACGATCGCAGAAGTAAAATAGTTAGATGAAGTACAACTTAAGATGGGTGATTTAAGATGGTTGGAAGCATTATGAAATTAATTTCCAAATTTATAAGGAAAACATTCTTTTATCATAATTTTGTATGTATTCTGTAATATGATGCACTAACCAGTAATACTCATTTTAGCATTAATAATAATTAATTCATATCCATGTAACTATTCGCCAATGCGGTTACTACACGCCAATAGTTACTATTCGCCAAATTACAGTTGACCAATAATTATTATTGGTCAAGAGTATCGTTAGCTCCCAATCGTATTTTTTTCATAAGGATCGAAGTAAGGGTATAAATATGTTTTTACTATGTATTGCAGTAAGTGTATATATTGTCTAGTAAATGAATAATTTACTAAGGATAGCGACATTTTTATATTTAATTAATATTTTTTCTAAAATTTTACGTACAGTCTGTTCCACAAGAAAGTGTATATGGCAGCATTTGGACAATAGACAACTTAGAAAAAAATTAAGGATTGTAATATATTAAAGTAGACTCAAAAAGGCGATTACTTACAATTAGTAATGGATCCAGTCACATCTATTGTCAATTGTTGCTTGATAACTTCTTGATATACTTTCACCTATATAATTTTTCAGTATATTCAGTAGATAGAGAGCGCCATAGCTTGATTCTAATCGACAACTGCTTAAGACACATTAAAAATAGGTTTTTTTCTTATTGTTAGTTCGAATTTCATCTAAGATCAAACATTCTCAATGGACTTTGTATCTGGAGACGAGCAGGCCAGTCCACTGTTAATGTTACTTTCCATTTTCTATTATGCGAAAAAGTGATTCCGATGTTTAGAATCATTGTCTTCCTGAAGCTTCCAATTGTCTCTAATTTTTACGTAAAATTTCTCAGCGGATGTCAACAAATATAAAGGAATCATGGTAGTGTCGTTGCGCATGGCTTAGCTCCGAGACACTACCGTGTCTCCTGATTTCTAATAAATATTACACATATTTTTAGCGTTTAGATTATCGATAAACAAATAGAGACAATCAAAACCACACTTACAGAAACACCTCCAAGCATGGATCTTAACTGGATGCTTTACTGTCCGCTGGACGATCCTATTATTCGGGATTGACCAGACTCTTCATATTATATAAGTGACCATACCCCAAAAGAAACTTTACATTACGTTATTCTAATCATTATTTAAATTTTCTTGAGTCCATGTTAGTCGTTTTGTACATGTTTTTTGTGTTGGAAGAGATTTTTGAATTGTGAAACATTTTACATTTAATTCATCTAAATGACGTCTGATATGGTATTTATTTCAACGTTTACATCCTCCTCACGTATATATAGTTGATTTCGAGCTTATACAATACTATACAAAATTATGCAATACTAGCATAGAATTTCAAACAGACGAATGGTCATTTTATCCTTTCTTGATAGGTTAATCCTCTTTCTGGCAACTCGTCAACATTTCCTACTTTTTTGTACTTTTTAATTCACTTCTAAATAAATGACTTAGACTTTTTAAGGTATGTTGAATTCTGAGCATACTAATAGCGTTTTCGACCCGATCTGGTTTACACCAATCTGGGTTGGATTGATCTTTCTTATTGATTGACGTTACACTCTCTACCAATAGAAGAACACAAAACAGCATTAATCCAACCCAGGTTGGTGCAAACCCGGCCGGGTCGAAAACGCTATAATTTTGATCCTTTTTAGAACTAAAAACATTTTTGCAAAACTAAGAACACACTGCCTCATAATGCTTGAGATACTTTGCGCAACTTTGCGTTCATTTTGAAAGTTTCATTTCTAACAAAAACTAAAGCCTGGTTTACACGGTGCGAGTTACTAACTTGCCAGTACTAGTTTCCGGATTGCATGGTTAGTTATCTTATTAGCTATATGTTCTCTACTACGTACTGTTTGAACAACTATTGGTCGTATTAATTTGTTCGTTCACAAAGGACCAGTAGCCTATTGCGTAGTAGGCGAAGGGAGTGGACAGTAGAACAAAAATATTTGAAGTAGCTGGCTTTGCCAGTTATTGCGCAACTCGCACGATGGCGGATGGATAAGCCCGGATTCTCATACGAGCAAGCGCTTTGACATCGAGAACTGATTGGTGAAAAGCCGGTTGTGGGGATAAAATTTACCCCCACAACCGGCTTGTTGCCCGTATGAAGATCCCGGCTAATTCGGCCAATCCGTTTACACGAGAAGCCAGTAGCTAATTAGAGTCTCTATAATATAGAGACTAGCCACACAATGTGACTAGTTTCATTGGTTAATCTTAAACTCCCTCAAAATGTAACATATATTCAAAGAACGTACATTCCACATTTACACACGCATTCGCACTAGATTTACACATATATTTATCATTTTGAATTAGCCATGGCACACAAAAAACTTAAGGCAATAAGACGTACAAGCAGTAAAGAAATCAACATGTTGGATTGGCTTACTGCTTACGTTATGGCTTTACGAACTTTACTGTGATTGGTCAATTCGCTTACTACTTACGTTTTTTATGTGCCATGGCCCTTAAGGTCATATATTTTCTTGTGAAACAGACTAAATGCATATATTCTAAATGCATACATTCTCTAGTAAGTGTATACATTTGTTAAATTTTACGCTTTGACACTGTGACATATACATTACCAAATTAAACGTTTGAGATCACATAAATATAGCATTTAAGAATATTTTAGTGAAATCATAGACATATAAGATAGACCCAGCATCCATATACTTTCTATAGTATATGCTGGGTTTGCCAGAAACGATGCGAGAGGTAAAATATTCTTCTCTGCGCGCGCATTTCTAGATTACTAATAATGGGCTATTTAGAAATGCAATATTTTGTAATTTAAAGTATTTTACAGGTTATCCCAGTGTCTTGATTCTTAATACATTGTTAAATGCCGATTGTGAACTACAATGTTCACGAAATGTTAGCATATTGACGGTGTCAATGGACGGTGTTAAGACACAAAGATAATATTTGTAAACCGTGTAACTTCCCTGAAAAAAATATTAGCGCAAGCCTGAAAAGTATTATTTTGTAATTTTTATATTGACAAGTTCTATATGTTTTTTCTTGCATTTTCTTATAATTTTTTAGCATTGTGGAATTATTGATAACTTATAATTGAAATTTTTCGTGAAAGTTAAGAGTATTATCAATAGGAGCATTAAAAAGATTATTACTTTGGAACCTTGCCTTAGTAAAGTTAAGTAGCAAGTGTTCAGGTTTATAGTTCATGTAGAAATTATTTACTTTGATCACACACACACACACACACACACACACACACACACGTGCGTGAGGTATGCAAGACACTCAAATGATTAGTTTGTACAAATATAGTAACCTTTGTAAATTCTTGTTGAAGGTGAAGAATGGGAAATTATGAGGGGTACATGGTATTACGATGGCAATTGGATACCCTTGGAAACAGAACATTCCAAAGTAATAGAAAAGGTACATCTTAAATTATTTCAAAAGGAAAGCAGCAATCAAAATATCATTATGTGTGATACAAATCCTCCTCAATCTTATAAAGGTACTCTTTTCTTGATTTTCTCGATTTTCTTGATTTTCTTGTGTAGCATGTCCTTATATAAATTTTAAAACTTATCGCGTTTTCAGTGTTACATACTGAACAATTCTCCGAGTTTCACGTTGATTGGCACTCGGTTAACGATGTGACATTATATAGCGAATATACACCTACTAAATTAATGCGTAGCGTTACATCAAAGTTGGGTTTTGCTAAAAGTAAGTTCAGGATTAATAATAATAAAAATATTGAAACATTCATATTTTTACGTATTATTTCAATACATTTTTTTAAACAAATTACTCTAAATTAACAAAAACTCTAAATTAACAGCAACAGGCTATCGATTAAAAAGAGGCTATAAAACACGTACAAATATGGAGGACAAGCCACGTGATATTGATCATCTAGTATTTGTTGTTCATGGAATAGGACAAAAGCGAGATACGGGAAAAATTATTCGAAATACCACATGGTATAACAATAATAATAATTTTTTTGCAATATGCAGTGTTCCGCAAAAAAATTGATAAATTTCTAAAATGTTCTGCAGTCACTAATCATATTAATAAACGCATTTTTTAATGGACTTATTCTAAATAACCAAGAATGCTAACTATTTTTATTTCTATATATTTGAAGTACATTTATCTTTTTTGACATTCTCAATAATGAAAATACAGTTTTAATCCTTTACCGGCAACAACGAATTTTACCTTTTTCGTCAACAACAGAGATCTTTGAGAGACAGAACAAATTTTCATAATTATTGGCTTTAGGGGAAGCACCTTTGATGACCTTAATCTAAACATATGTTGTTAAAAGTATTCTTTTGAGTGAATTCCAGAAAGTTTTAACCGTCACTTGTCCTTTGTTTATTAAAAAAGCAATTATTACAAATTTATTTAAAAATTAGTAACAAAAAAAGTTGAATTTTATTTAAGGGGATCCTAAACCGATTATCGTACTTGATCGAAGTCGATACTGTAGACTTTTAATTCCAAATTCGATAATAGTGACATCTTTGATTCATACATTATATTATATATCGTTCTGTCTCACTCAAACGCATACATCTGTCCTTATTTAACATATGCCAGCACCATCTATCGCAAGACCGCGCAACTATTACTACACGGAATTTCGGCTCTGTTGACAGTCTCAATCTTCGCAAAGCATCCGTATACACGTATTTTCTATTCGGTGAAAATATTTTTCTTCTAGACTTTCAATCTTAATTCTACAAACTCGGTATCCAGTTCGTTCCAGTAATGTGACCTCAGCTGCACGATTATTTTCAAGATATAGATTATAAAATTCTTATATCAAGCAAATATATACCTGAGATGACAGCTGTACAAGCCAAAAGTAAGTGAATTTTTTAACTTTTTTTCGACTTTCTCGTGAAATCTAATGCAGCTGAGGTCCTGTTTGTGCGTACTTTAATTCTGTAATAATAATTTTGCAATCCGTAAATTCAATTCGGAGATTTTTCACCGAATGGAAATGATGATAAAGGACGACTTTAGCATCCCCTTAAGTAAGTAAACAATAAATATCGATTTAATAAATATCGCAGTAGTGACATATTTGCATGCTCTACCATTACGTACGCATGCGTCATCATGATCAAAATGAATCATGATCGAAATAGAAAATAGACTGTAAGTGTTTGCAACTTTTCTCCGTAAGAGTTGTATCTGCGATTAATCGATCGATTAAGGAGTTAGTCCACCCAGGAGGCCTCAAAATCATATCTTATTTTAGGAGTTTATTAATAAACAACTATACATAATACAAAAAATCTTTTTGTACCTATTTACTACTCTTATCTTGGTGTACAAAACGTATAACAATTTATGCTCCTAGCAAACGAAATGGGGCGTTGTAGTACGTTTTTTGGAGGACTATACACGATAAAGGCATACACGGGTCCAAAGTATGCTGTATCAAAAATTTGATTAATTATTTTTAATCTACATTAAATTTACCAAAGAAATACCTGTCACAGATTTAAAAAATGTTTCATGCGTGAGAAAAAAAGTTCAATTTTCACGTTAAAATTCAATGTAAAGTATGGATTGTAAAAATAGTACGTAAATTATCGCAAAAACCACTAGTATTTTTTTAGAGATAATTCAATTGACAATGACTACGTTTACACGGTTCAATTTACGCCGAAGTTATAACATCGATGTTACGAAATTGTCCAATTCCATTTTTCGAAGTCATTCCATTTTTCAGAAGAATAACTATGATTGGTTAGTTCCATAACATCGATGTTATAACTTCGGTGTAAATCGGACCGTGTAAACGTAGTAATAAACTGCGCAGATTTCAAAGCATTTAGATTAATTTTGTTATAGGTTGAACGAAAGCTCATCATTCTGAGAAAAACGCGATTAAAGTTTCAATTAAGATTTTTTTTAAACTAGTATAATCTATAATTAAATTGTATGCCAACGTCATCTACAATATAGATATATAACTATAAAACCTAGTCTACAATTATGTAAGCGTAATTGTAAGTGGTTGTAGTTGCAAGAATTGACCAATCACAGTAGAATATTCTCATACATCATAGTCCGATTCACGCTGACACGCACATGAGCATCATTTGTCTTCGTTCAACATTTGACAAACAATAAGGATGAAACGATTTTTAAGCGTTGGAGCGTGAATCGAACCGCGGCCATATTCGATTGTGATTGGTCAATTCTTACAACTACAATCACTTAACACTACGCAATTGTAGAACGAACTAATAGGCCAAATAATGACTGAATTATTCAAGTAAACGGTGCTGTGCCAATTGTATCTTCGTTAATATATGGAATTTTACTTTCGGATATATTCTTCTATATCTTTTCTTCTATCTTTTTTGTTTAGAATGATCTCTAAAACATATTTTAGAAGTTTGTCGGTTTTTTCGTGGAACATTTTGTATAATACTGTATTTTGTATGATACTATATTTTTATAAAATAATATTTTTAAGTATTAATAAATTAATAGTTTTAGAGATTGCGTGGATTGGCTTAAGCAAAAATACTTTCCAAATTCTAAACACAGAGTAGAATTCTTTCCAGTTGAATGGCGATCATCATTAAAGTTAGATGGAGGTAAAATACACATACTTTACAGCACTAACATCTACTTAATTTTACCAAATGTGCGACCTCTTCTTTCAGATATAGTAGACGCAATTACACCTTACAGTGTATTGAGCATACGTCACTTGCTTAATACATCAGCAATGGATATTTTGTATTATACAAGTCCTCTGTATGGTGCTGAAGTTCGAGCTGGATTACAAAAAGAGTTAAATAGTTTATACTGTATGTTTGCGAGTCGGCATCCTGGTTGGCAAGGAAAGATTTCAATTTTAGCGCATTCTCTAGGATGTGTGATTGTATATGACATAGTTACAGGCTGGATAGGACCTGATTCGCGACTCTCATGTCCGCAGGCGCAAGAAGTTTTATTGCAAGGATTGCAATTTCCTGTGAGCAATTACATGGAAAGAAATTTACTTGTTTTAAGTAAAATTTGTTTCATATAAATAATTTTCTCACATAGTCCGTAGTAACAAGTATTGAATTGATTCTTAGAAACAACTTTCTTGTTACTAGTAAACAATTTTCATAATAAAATAATTATCTCTTGAAAAAATAAAAATTATATTTAATATAAAGAAATAAAAGTTTAACAAAATTAAGAAAATGTTATTAAGGAAATTTATATATCTTAAAATAAAGTATTTTTCAGAAAAAATAACTTCATTTCTAAATGAATAAAAAAATTTTTGTACATTGAGAAGATCGATTCTTATACGATAATAATATTTCCATTTAAATCAAAATTTTTATCTCCTATATAAAGTTATAGTGAAAAACATATGTGTATATAGAAAAATTTACGAATTATTAGAAGTAATTAATTAATCGGAGTCCTTAGGTTGCTTTCAAAAAATTCAAGAAAGCATTTCATTAGAATATGAGTACCATAGTGGAAAAATTTCACTGAAATTTCATTGAAACTCCACTGAAATTTTGTTGAAATTGTCCTTTGTTTTGGAACATTTTTTAGTGACATTTCGGCGAAATTTCAGAAAAATCAAATTAATTAATTCAGTTTTATTGCTAAAATAAATATGACTGATTAGCATATTCCAGAGGACATAACAAAATTATGATTAAAAAAAACATTATCCCTAAATTAGAATTTCATGGTGCTTCCAAGCATCACCCATTTTAAGCTGAACCCTAATATAGCGTGCTTGATCTCTGCGATCATATGGGAACTGCTCCTTTGATGATTCACGAATATCTATAATGTTAATAGATGTATAGTTGTAATATATCTGATCAAAGATGTTGTAAAAAAATGGAACACGTATACAGAAAAATAATTAATATTAAGTATAATTATAATGTATTAATAAAACATAATATCATATATTTTCATATGTATTAAAACCATTTATGTAAAAAATTAATGTAAAAAAACTAATTTTCGCGTATTTATAATAATTTTGCAATACTTTTAGTAAAATGTAAAGAATATTCAATATATATTTTAGAAAAATGTAAAATTTTCGGAAAAATTTTCAGACTTTGGAAAATAGTCAATAGAGCTTAAATTTTAAACTGTTTACAAAATTTGCACAAATTATTTCTAATTATTATACCAAGTAAAAATTGTTTTCTCATTTACAGATTGAAAATTTGTTTTGCTTGGGTTCGCCGTTGTCCGTATTTTTAGCTCTGCGCACTCGTACTCCATCCAACAGATTAGATGTGATGCCGCAAGGTTTATGTAAAAGATTCTATAACATATTTCATTGGTCCGACCCAGTGGCATATAGAATGGAACCGCTTTTAGAAAGGGGTTACAGTAAAATCGAGCCAGTTCTAATACCACCATACGGAGGAATTGATGGTCAGCAAATACCACAATCGCCTTCATCACTAAACAACGTCGATCCGACTCTACCACCTACAGGTACTTTATTTATCAGCCTTTCTTAAGATATTTAAATATCTTTTATGATGTGTTTGAAGTTCGAAATATAAAGTCTAACCAATTTTATGTTTTTTTAAATGATATTTTTGTATTTTTGATTTTGTCTTCTAAAATATCGATATATAATTAACAATTATTTTGTATATAAACTTCTATTATTACTTCTACATAGACGTATATTACTATACAGTTATTGCAATAAACATTCAGTTCAAAATTGGTTTAAATTAAAATGAGACAAGTAATGAGAAAGTATCTTCATTTTTAAACTGTATATACAGATCAAATTAATCATATCATTTTAACAAAAGTGGGTTATCATAATTTTCATGTAACAAACCAATGAACTAAGATGTTTCATATTTGCAAAATGGATGCAAAGAAAATGTGTTCTATACAGGGGTTAATACTTAACTCTTCAAGAAGATATTGATTTCCTCTATAAAAATATAACGACTTTTAAAAATCTGAACAATAAGAGTATTTAAAATAGTATAGAGAGAGAGAGAGAGAGAGAGAGAGAGAGAGAGAGAGAGAGAGAGAGAGAAAATTTAAATACAAGGACAACTAAATTAAACGAGCAAAAATTTTTAATACTTAATATAGAATTATTATATGTATCAATAGAAAATGATGATAAAGATGATAGTCCAGTGGATAGTCCACCCAATCGTAATGCAGAGAAGGGTTGGAGTCTTTGGGATTTAGTGCGAGGTGGTTGGAACATTAGAGAAGGTCCATCTTCACCAACACCAGATTCAAATCCATCAATCCGTCCAGGTCAAGGTAATTATATACACATTACAACGTATAGGAATCTTCTCTGTATCACAAATTATTTACAAATATTTTTTGCGTCATTAGAATTAGCACAACGATTGGACTATGTGCTCCGTCCGATTGGCTTAGGAAGAAATTATTTGTATACTGTAGCAGCACATACGGCATATTGGAATAACTACGACGTAGCCTATTTCGTATTAACAAGACTCTTTCCAACGCTGGAAACTTGATGGCGGTTTAAACAGTTTAACGCAGAGTCCCAGCAGTTTCTGCTAAGATGCTCTAGTCCATTGTAGGCCTTCTCTAGAACGTGATATCGCAAATAGGTCTGCTACCAAAACAATCTGTGATAATGGAAAAATGATACAATAATGTTGCGAATTCTATGAAAACCGATCATTTTATATGATTTGTATAATTTAGTAATCGCTCTGCATGAAGTTATACGAGACAAACATTGTCTTTGCTCGTTTTGGTAAGTAATTGTTTGTACAAAACATTAGGTAATCGACATTTGTACATAACATAATAAATTCTGTATCATACAAGAGCGCATGGAAGAAAATGATAAGTTTTATGAAATTTTATGTTACCATTTAATAGATACAGTATATGAATATGCTAGATATTTATTAAGTATAATATTTTGTAAAACTCTCTATAACTTGTTATGATACGGCAAACTGTTTTCGAATAACACATTCTACAATAAGCCCTTACTTAAAGTAACTCTTAAACCGTAAAAAATTGATCAGTCACAGTGTCTGATCGAATGTGAAAAGAATAATTGATTATGATTGATCAATTTCTTATGCCTTAATCCTTTGAGTCACGCAATTAAAGGAAAAGACTAATCTCTGAAAAATGTATAGAATTATAGGTTTTTGAGGTCACTGAAATCAAATCTTTTATCAAATCCTAAAATAATTGAAATTCAAGATGGCGAGTACAATATGGCGGTTTAAAAAGCAAATTGATTCTTGATTTTCATTACAATTCGCATTCTATCCTGAAAAATCCATAAATAAGGGTTTTCTGAAGTGGCGGAATATAAATCCAACCATTGAATTTATAAAAAATTGAAATACAATTTATAAAAAAATGTTAAAATACAATTTCTAAAACAAACGTAAGAATATTGAAATAAAATTTGTAAAATAAACCGAATGCATATTCGTAATCAGCGACCTCAAAAACATAAATATAACTCAAAAAATGAGTATGTTCATAGAGGCTTTTTTTCACAAATGAATTTAACCTAAAAAAAAAAGCGTTTTTTCGCGTCAAAATGTTTACAACAAAAAAAGTATAAACAAAATAGAAAAATCAGTATATTGAAGTTGAACTAAGTATTAATATAGTGAATAATAAAAAAAGAATCATTAATTTCGATGAAATCTTTGAAATACAGTCTAGAAAAGAAGAGTCAAAAGATGTAACATATATGTTACGCTGTGACTCAAAAGGTTAAGACTTAAAGCTTAGATAATGGTTTGTTGTAGAAAGTCCACAACTGATACATTAGTTTGGTAACTAATGTATTCTCTATGTTGATTGCCTTTGTTATTGCCATATGTATAAATAACATTTTAAGATTAGCGCCAAATATGCTAAATATGTTATTGATCTTACAATGAAATGAAGTAAGATATTGTGATGCTTACGAATTTTTCTTACATGTATATTTGTTGTTAATCGATTTATGAATGTATACTCAGAAGTATTCATATAATGTAGAAGTACTAGAATAATGCAAAAACATGAGACACCATATAACGTAGATTTTTAAATAATATATAACTTATTAAGATACAGTATTTACAAGAGTATTTTGGTATATCTTATATATAGCTTTATATCTCCCTAATTCATACTTTTTATTTAATAACAAGTTCGTGTTATACATATAATTGTGTTCCTTCATACTGTAAGAGCTTATGGAAGCGCAAAATACTCATATGAATTCCATTAAGGGGCTCCTGAGTATAATCGCCATTATATTGGATCGTGCGTCATAAGTCAAAAATAACGCGTTGAAATTTTTTGTATGCCATTTGTAAATAAATTTAGATAAAACAAAGTATGTAATGAAATCGTTTTAAAATACTCGTAAACTGTCCTTCCTTCCTCTGACGGGAAATAATCGTAAAAGGCACGTGAAATCTTAGAACATTGTATATAAATGGATGGAGAATTGCTCATGTCGCTCATATATCGAGCCTGAAATCAACATATGTAGCTAGAGAGTCCCAAATACTTCCTCACACATTAACAACAAAGTGGAACAGGGGAAAACGGAATAACACATATGCATTACAGTCAATTGGGATTATATAGCTTTCTGACCTCTCGCAAATGTTGGCTTCAGGGAGTAGCGATCATGTAACTTTTTCCCCGGAGCGGAAATGTGACAAGTGAAAATTTTTGTACATAAAAATTTTCACTCTTCACGTTTCCATTCTAAAGAAAAAGTTACATGATCGTTACCCAGGTTCAATACTTAATTCCTCTTCCATTTATACAGTATCCCATTTTAAATAATGCATTAAGATTTCTCGAAAACTAAGGTAGATACGGAAAAATGTTTCAAACAAAAGTTGTATGGTTCGGAGGGGAACATAAGAAGGTATCATTTATTTGACCTTAGGTGGCGTCGTTAAGATCAGGTTAAGATCATATCGATTTTTTTAAATGGAACACCCTATTTTTGATACCAGAATTTAATAGTTGGTGTTTAAATTCATGACATCAGCTATTAAATTCTGGTATCAAAAATAGGGTGTTCCATTTAAAAAAATCGATATGATCTTAACCTGATCTTAACGACGCCACCTAAGGTCAAATAAATGATACCTTCTTATGTTCCCCTCCGAGCCATACAATTTTTGTTTAAAACATTTTTCCGTATCTACCATAGTTTTCGAGAAATCTTAATGCATTATTTAAAATGGGACACCCTGTATATATTTTAAGTGTGAAGTACGTTTACCATCGTTTACTTAATTCGCATGTGTAGCCTATTTTCACCTTACGATTATTTACTAACTGTCAGGGGAGATAAGAATTCCTTTTATTTTTTGTATTAAAGCGATCTCATTATTTTGTTTGTTTTAAATTTTCTTCGTTTATAAATAGCATGCAAGAAACTTCAACGTTTCTCGGTTATAACATCACGATTCAATGGGTGCATCCAGAAGCACGACTGCTCATTGAGAGCTCTTGTACCTGTTTGGTCTATATTTTTAGCTCTAATAGAATATGCCAATCAGATAATAGCAATCAGTAAGAGCTCAGCAAGCGATCGTGGTTCTGGATGCACCTAATGGGCGCATTCAGCAAATTCAACAGTTGAGTGAGCGCTCGCTGGTATTGATGTATTCTTCTAGATCTAAAATTCTGATTGGATGAGCTAAGAGAATACACCAATAACAGCAAGTGCTCACTCGATTGTTGAATCCGCTGAATGCGCCCATTGTAGCTGCAGCAATAATTCAGCAGCCTAGTAGAATGCGTTCCGTTTTGCGCTTATAGCGCTTGTAAGCACTAAGCATCATTTGTCCTTGTTTAAAATTTGATATATAACAAAGATGAATTAATGCTTACAGCGTGTGAACGTGAAAATAAAACACGCTTGATGAACTGAATAATTATAAATCTTCGAACACGATGCTAAAGCGAATTCTCTAAAAAACATTAAGTAATTAGAGTTTATAAAAGGGGCTGCTCTCCGATAAACCTGACCTTGACATATTTGGCAAAATGATCCTGAAAGAGATCCTGAGTAACCTTCAAGGCTGTGTTCGAAAACACTTCCTGAGTGCCTGAGTATCATTATATCCTTGTTCAACATTTGGTGAACAACAAGAATAAAATAATATTTGGATGTACTCGGGTAGTAATTTTTGAACGCAGCTCAGATTTCAGTTGTCATTCATTAAAAAATTATTAACAAATCAAATCAAAATAATAAATGAGTTTAACTTTATAATTTAAATCCATGTGAAACTTCGATTCACGTTGTATACGTGAACGCGGTAGTGAATTCCGCCCTCTCATCTTGCATGAGGGCCTCCACCTCCGAAAAATATAACCCTAACCCAATCTAAACCAAATTTTGGTATTGAGGTATATAGGCCTCGATTCGAGTGGAAAGTTGTACATCTATGTGGAACCTCGTTTCGCATTGTAAAAGGAAGCACAATGAATTTTGCTTCCGTTACGAGTTGCAATATTAAAAAATTGACCTAACCATCTGTTACTTTCGTATGAATTTACAGCTTTTCACGCGAAGCGAGATTCCACATGGATTTACAACTTTCCTTGCGAAAATAACAGTTTGGATTAGGTCACTTTTGGTAGAACCTACCCGCAGGGAGGGGCGGAATCACTGCATCCACACACAAAGTGACGTTTATGGTTCCTGCACACTAGGGATGGCTAAAAAATAAATTGATTTGATTTTTGCGTCGTAAATCGATTCGAATCGAATAAGACCGATTCGAATGTATGATGTTAATTGAATGATTTGAACCGATTCAATCAATTCTATTCGATTTTTTTATTTTAAGGAGGTTCTCGCGCTACTTCCTAGTCAATAGACAGTTTATTCATAATAATATATAAAACAATTAAAATAATGGAATAAAAAGATTACTAACAATATCTTATACCATTATACGTAATTATTGTTAATTATATATGTTACTAAATATTTTCACTAACGTATAATAAATTAACCTGACTAAGACTTCTTATAAATCAGAAAACAAGGAAAGAACAAGAGCAATAGGAGTCAAGCGCGGGAGACGTTGCGCAAATAACACGACTATCGTAGCGTAAAACTTCTTTATTTTAGTAAAGCGCTTACATGTTTCGGCTCATTTTTGAGCCTTCTTCAGAGACAACTAATAAACTCACATATATAGAATATAACAATTATTAACTAGTCATGGTGATCTTCCCCACCTCGAGAGTATAAATGCCAGAATTAAATCCAGATAAGAATGCAATGAAGAAAAAAAGGAAAGCAATTTTGAAAATCTCGAAATAAAGAAAATGTAAAACTAATGTATCAAAAAATTTTTGAAATTATAATTAATTATTCCGAAAGTTAGGAAGCTCACACTGACTGTGTTAGTCAGTGTCGCTCGTACAGGAAGAAGTTTGTCGGGCGTTGACTTTAGATCATTTTCAAAATTTCTTTTCTTGATTTTGATTAATTTTTAACGCTAGTTTTCTAATTACTGTCTCAATAAAGACCAATTAAATCAAAAAGAGACTGTCTGACACTGACTGGCCAACTTATCAGAAGCCGATTTTTGAATTATTAAGAGTAATGTTTGCGATGCGGTATCTTGTGATCAGGGTGAGCTTCCTAACTTCCGGAATAATTAATTATAATTTCAAAAATTTTTTGATACATTAGTTTTACATTTTCTTTATTTCGAGATTTTCAAAATTGCTTTCCTTTTTTTCTTCATTGCATTCTTATCTGGATTTAATTCTGGCATTTATACTCTCGAGGTGGGGAAGATCACCATGACTAGTTAATAATTGTTATATTCTATATATGTGAGTTTATTAGTTGTCTCTGAAGAAAGCTCAAAAATGAGCCGAAACATGTAAGCGCTTTAGTAAAATAAAGAAGTTTCACGCTACGATAGTCGTGTTATTTGCGCAACATCTCCCGCGCTTGACTCCTATTGCCCTTGTTCTTTCCTTGTTTTCTAAATATTTTCAAAATGACAAAATAAAAGTTGCGAGGTGCTCATTTGATGTATACGCATCGTCCATTTGACATATATTCTAGCTTTTTTCATTGAAGAATGTAAATTTCTTGTAACTGTACGGTCGGTTTAAATGAAACTTTACGAGAACAAACTTAAGTGTTTACGTTATGATTATAACGATTTTTAAATTGCTGTCTTATACGGAAGCGTTTTAATTTAAAAGAGAATAATTACAAAATAAGGTTATACCTTCAACTTTTAATGTAAAATTCTATAAATTTAGAATTAATAAATATCTTCAAAATGGTACGGTAAAAGTCAATGAAATTTTTTCTAGATATTATTGATATTATTAACTTTTGTATTACATGTATATTATAGACATGTCTTATATTTCATTAAACGCGAGAACCTCCTTAACCTCGTGATGCGTATAAAAATGAATATAGATTAGTAAAATTGGTCAGAGCAATCAGAGAATAATTATTTGACATCTAATTGTTAGTACTTTATAGAGCAAAGATTCAATTTGAAGTATTTTGACTGGGAAATAAATATCGAAAGTCTTTATTTGAAATATATAAAAAGTTTTATTATCAATTTTAGTATTTTTAAAATGTCAATAAAATACATATATACGTATAAAAAATACATAAATATGATACACATTAATCCTCATCAGGTATTACCATATTTAATACATTTTTACATAATACTTTTAAAACTGCCCTGGTGGAAAAAATCGCCGAAATTGTTGAAATCGACAATGAAATCGTTGAAATAAGAAATGAAAATGACTGACATATTGTTGAAAATATTTCAGCATAAATAATATTTTTAATATTGAAATAATATAAATTTTAAAGATAATTAATGAAGAATGCATGTAAAATACACAAAACACTATTTTCCAAACAATAAACTTATAAATTTACTTATCTACTTATTTCCATGATGTTTAATAGATGAATTAGAATCCATGATTAAAATAACAAAAGTACTAAAGAAACGTTACAATCGATGTGTGCACTCGATATTCTTTGGTTGGTTATATTGTTTTTATTTTACAAAGAGTGTTTTCTCTTTGGTTATAAATAAGATCTTGTGACGAAAATATAAACTAAATACAGTGTTGTAAAGTATGAATGCAAGATTATAATAAAATAAACTAAGAAAATTATAAACCATCCGTGGTAGTTATAGAAGGCAATTATTTGCTTATGATAGATTAAATCACGATTATGACATTTTACATTTATCTTTATTTATAATAACGGAACAAACTGAGCAATAAATTGATGCAATATCGAGTTAGATGGACAGCCTGCATGACTTACTAGTGCTATCTGTTGAATTCATAGTGTAAATTACCTACAAAGATTAGAGATGTATGCAAAATCATTATAATCTAATATAAAATAATTTAACATACATGTAATTACAATACTTACAGATGACATTTTCCATCTTTTCAATACTCCTTTTAGTTGAATTTTTTTCAATATTATTCTTAATCGCTAGTGATCACTGGTGATTGACAGTACGAAAAATTTCCATTTCCGAAAAATATGCCCCATGAGAAGCCAGGCTACTTAAAATCGGAACGGAACGATGCTGATTGGTTGCCCTTATCACTTCACCGTTCCGATCCCGTTTTCCGTGCCCATGGAACAGCACCCTAATTCGAAGATCCAAATTGCGGAAAAGTAAAAATTGTTCATATTGCCGATGGAGGGTTTAACCTATTTCCCATTTATAGCCGTATCGAATTACGAAATTTTATCAAATGCTGTTTATGTATAATCTTTTTATTGATATTATAGATACAGTATAAAATTGTATTACAGTGTGATTAATAGTTAAGAAAAATATCTATGATTATAATATCAAATAATGCATACCGCATCAATCAAGATGTGCAAATAGCCTCAACATTGGCCTTCGCGTCAGTGGTAGATACATTCAAATAAATACGATTTTCTGAATGTGAACGCATATATATAAAATTCAAATCAAACTAAGAGAAACTCTTTCAATATGTATACCTGGACTGCGTTCAGGAATTACCCCCAGATAACTCTAAGGTTACGTTATGTATATTATAGCAAAAATGCATCCTAGAGTTATCTAGGCGTAATTCCTGAACGCAGCCCTAATGGTACGAGATTTAGGCCTGGTTATTACTTTCTGTACCAACGTTACTTTGATTTTAAGCGAGGCTTAAAATTCTCTCTCTCCGACTCTCTCAGCTTTAAAAAGAGAAAGTGAGAGTTTTAAGCCTCACTTAAAGTCAAAGTAACGTTAGTGCAATCGGGCCTTACTAATATATGTATAATACCTGCAGGGTTTTTTTTAGTAAGAACTTCCGGATGTTTTTTGAAATAAAACACATAAGTTTAGAACATTTTGAATATCTATTAACATTAATCAATCATATTATACAATAATATGACTGATTACAATTATATGCAAACAATAGTGACAAGATAGCCACTGAGGCTCTTTATGCATGAATAACCTTTTGTCTAGACTTTGGATGACATTCTCACATATACGTGACTCGATAATGATGTATCGAATTTTGTCTTTGAGCTAATGAGATGGTTTGCAAATAATTGTGGCGCGCATACGACGTTCATATTACCTTTCACATAGTCCTAAAGAAAATCCAGTGATTTCAAACTGCATGATTTTGGCAGCTAATTGATATCACACTTTTGTGAAAAAATTCTATCTTTGAACTTCTAAGAGTCATTATTTCACTCGTTGTATGGTTGCGCCGTTTTGTTGGAATTATAAATGTCGTTTAAATTGGGGTCTAAATTCATATCAGTCAATTCTGGACATAAAAAGTTTATTATCATGCAGTAGCGTTCGCCGTGCTTGGCTATTTTCAGTTAAAAAAAAAAGTAATGTCAATTTAAACGAGCACGCATATTTTATACAGATTCAATTATCAGATTACATTTCCTCGAATTTATACACTATACTGCAAATTGTTTTCTCTGTTGAATGATTATTGCGGTTGCCACCTTTCAATTAAGTGTCTTGCTGGATTTCGAAGGCCCATATACCGGAAATTAATAATTATTGTCGGCAACTTTCTTACCATTTCTCTAAAAAAAAAAAAAAAAGTCACCAATCACTTTTGTGCTTTGTGTTGGAAATTACTATTATGCAGAGTCTACAATAGAAGTCGTAGCGGTCGTAGGGTCTTAAGTCGTAGAAAATTGACCAATCATAGTCGATTATTCTTCTCATATCCGACTGTGATTGATTAATTTTCTACAACTTAAGATTCTACGACCGCTACTTCTATTGTAGATCCCGCAATACTTTATCGCAGATTTAGCATTAATTGTTCCTTATCTATGATGTAAGGATCCTAAATGTCTAATGAAAAGTCATTAGATGTTTGATCCTCCTGCTGGAGATTTCTTTTTAGAACCGGAGGAAAAGATCGAGGGGTTATTATCTTTATACATTATCATTTCTCATTTCCTAAGAAAAAGGTAAATCAAAATTTAGGGTTAGAGATTTTTCCCGCCGACAGAAAACTGAAGAGATGGCAACTATAGTGATTATTAAGTATGTGAATAAAAAAAGTCATGAATTTTGCGAATGTATTTTGCACACATGCCAAATGCGGCCATATTTAAACAGTTGCCGTGGTTTGAAGTTTAATATATAGCAAAAATGAGTATGTATCAAATAAAAACGTAAAAATGTGTTTACAGAAAAGAAAAATCCAAAAATATGTAGTTTTATGGTTTTCCAAAAGAGAAGACATTAACGTTAAAATGAGAAGAAACTTGCCATAACGTGGAATAAGCTTTGGCATAACGCCAAATTCAAATAACCGTGGAAATTATATGGCGGTATCTGGTATCGTTCTTCTGATATTCAAAATGCGCAACTGGGGCAGTATTCCAAATTTACTGCCAACACTGAAAATGCGACAGTTTACGTTACGTGAACTATTGATTTTTAATACAGGCAGTCAATTTTGGAACATAACCTGGGTTTCTTCCACCCTGGTTGCTATATAGCAAGTATGATTTAAAACATCCGATCGACGTACTATTGGAAAACCCTGTACAAACCAATTTCTTGCTCTATATACTTAGAATTAACTTGCAACATATCAAAAGAGTCGCATTTCATAAATAAATCATTTATCATGTCAATATATCCTTACGAATTTAATGCAATAAGTCCATTTTTAAAGACTCGTTAAGAAAGTATGCACATTTCGCGATGCAGATCTCTTAAATAAGTAAAATATATAAAAATATATAAATAAAAGAGATGAGAGATATTTTAATGATTATTACGAATCTGAAAATAATTTAAATTTTCTATTGTAAGGTTATACAGTTATATATTCAAGAATGAAATAAATAAAAGAGTAAAGTAACACATAAACATAAAGTTTCGATAGAATGCAATCACCTTATTATCCCTAAACATTCAAGAGTACAATAATTAAGTCAGCAATATTTTTGCACATATTATCTAGCCTTAGTGTAATTCTAATCAAGTATGAGAATATGCGATATGTACCGACAAATACATACATGCATACATTTATTTGGTCGAAGAGATAACGTGCGCACGTATGTTTACGAGTGATCTCCACATGTGAAGAATATTTAAACCGTTTCTACTTACGGTATCACGAGATACCGTAAGTAGAAACGGTTTAAATATTCAAAATATTCATAAAATTATACATACTATTCTGAAATTTGTTCCTTTATAAAATATAATACTCGTTATATATGTATACTATGTGGTTTCGTTGCTAGATATTCTTAAAAGATTCGAATGTCTTCCGCGGATGGAACGCGAAAACGTACGAATGGACTACCAACAGTCAGATATGTTAACAATCAGGATCATCACTCTGTGGTATTCTTAGTCCCGATTGTACCATCGTCACTTTGATTTTAAGCGAGGCTTAAAACTCTCCCTTTCTCTTCAGTGTTGATAAAGACAGAAAGGAAGAGTTTTAAGCTTTGTTTAAAATTAAAGGCCCGTATTTAGAACGCGTTTACAACGATGTTAGCGCGCTAACATACTATACTTTACGTCACGCATATTATAGAATTTCAGAGATAAAAGCGCGCTTTTATCGACAAAAGCGCGTTCTGAATACGGGCCAAAGTAACGTTGGTGTAATCAGGCCTGCTTAATCACTTACGATCAGTCAGAACGGATGCTTATTACGAATGTCATTGTTAGGACGCAGAAGTTCGGGCATGATCACGGAGCACGCGCAGTGGACCGCTGCGCGCGTGAGTTGGGTGCTTGCTTAGGTGAGATCGCAACATTTCGTCCAGGCGCACAAACTACTCAATATAAACAAAACGCACAACGGTTCTTCGAGTGCGCCCCATGCTCGAACTTCCGCGCTCTAGTCATTGTTCTATTCGCATAGATAATGTTAAGGTAATGGAAATTAGTTAATTATGCAAATAATCTATCTATAAAATGAAACAGCATGTACAGGTTTCTTGAATATAAGTGCTACTTTATCACGTATTAATGAAAATAAATTACACTTAATAATACATTGAGTAATAATTATAAGTAAAAACGATCAATACAAGAATATTAAGATCATTATCATTTTTTTTATACGAGCCGCGTTTACGGAAAAGCATATAAGTTCGAATCCTCATATAGATGATATCTGCGCTTTGACACTGAGCGCCAATTGAGGAAAAAGGGATTTAAATGACTACATGTACAGATAAAATTTACCCCCATTACTCATTTTTTACCAATTATCCATATAAACCAAATGAGTCCAAGATGCCGTCATATTACTGTCAGCCGTTGTAGTAGATGTCGATAAACTAGGTGCTTCTTCATTATGCGTGAAATGTTGCCCTCACGTGAATTCTAAATTTGATGATAGCAATTGATAGCATCTTGATGGCATGTAAAATATGCCATTAATTTGCTATTATGTTGGCGGCACGATACTATATATGAAATGCGAGCTCAGCGCGTGCCGTCATTTTGCCATCATCATGACGCATTATTAATTCTCAACGTTTGCTCTTGAAATTTTATAAATTGGTGATGTCTATTTGCTAACACGTTGCTAACTCAGTTTGCACATAAGATTCCGATGTCAGCAAATTGTTGCAAATTCACAACAACTCGTGTAGTGCATTAGTTTGTCTAATATGTTAAATCATGCTTGGTTATCTGGGCACGCTCGGTATCAAAGTGCCGATGTCTGCAGCATGAGGAATCGGGCTAAAAAAAGCTTTTGTAACTTGCAAACATTACTTGTTATCTTTTACAAGCGCGAAATTCGAATATTATGCAATAGTAGAATTTTTTTCATTCGAGTGGATATTTCGCGGTATAAAAGATATTAAATTTGGCAGCTTCAGTCTAAATAATATAAAAGCCTTCATGTGAGTACCTCTTAAATGAATAGATAAATACTACTCACGTATAATATTTGTTCAGTCTGCGGTTCTCTCGCCGAGAACAAGAGAATATTGTTTTGTCTAACAATAAGTTATAAATCTGTAAAAAAATATCGATAATAAAATGTATTTTCGTATAAAAGAAGAAACTATTGATGAGCAATTCCGTCCGATAGGATATTGCTTCCACAAACATGATGCAATGGACATGTTCCACTATTGTTCTCATTAAGAGACAAACCTTGATCCAAGAATATTTTCCGTACCAGAAGAGCATGGTCCGTTGTGTGCAGGGATACGAATTCGTTCTCGTCGAAGTGCACCGATAATCTATCAATAGTTTATATTCTGAGACTTTTTTTATGCTATCATTACGTCTATAACATGAAGTGAATACGATTAAGAAGTATATAAAGAATAAAATACCAGTACGATTACATATAACGAGCCAAAAATTTCAATTATATCAAGATATTCTACTCCCGAATTTGAGAAATTCTCATCCAAAATGCGACTGATTTATAGCCAATTCGGTTGAACGCACTAGTGCTCAGTAGTAAACAATAAAGTCGTTCTACATTGATTTAATCTGTGTAAAAGTAAAATGTAAATATTTCGAATTATAAAATATAGATTTTATTTAACAGCACAATAAAATGTATTAAAGATTTTATGGTTTAATCCGTTTTTATATTTATATTAATTACATATTTTTACTATATGTCAATTTGTGTATGATGGCTTTAATATGCATCAATACTGAGTACATTCAATCGAATTTGCTATTATTCGATATTAGAAAGTTATTGAAGATCTTTACTCCTTTTATCCTTTTCGCACTCATTCGCTTACGTTTTACAAGAATATACAATCGTATAATTTATGCCTTTAACTCAATTTCAAACTCCTTTTCTTTCTCTCTCTCTCTTTCTCTCTTATGCTTATGCCTCCCTACCTTAGAACATATATTACTGGAAGAGGAATTGCCTATGCTGGTCCGTGTACCGAGGTGAAGCCAACATCTATGCGAGAGAGAAAGGTAGAGAGTCCCAAATGTTCGCAATGCGCATGCGCAGTACCATCGTCTGTGTGAATTGTACAATTGTGTAGTATTTCTTACACATTCATACATTATACAGATGTGTAAGAAATACTAACTCATCTGTACAATTCACACAGACAATAGTGCTGCGCATGCGTATTGCGAACATTTGGGACTCTATAGCTTCCTCTCTCACAAAGATGTTGGCTTCACGCGTTCAGCGTTCCTTTTCCAGTAGTATATGTTCTAAGCCTCCTACGCATTTTCTTCTCAACACGCATTATTACCCTATAAATATATTACAATTTGATTTACATTTATACACATACAGATAAGTCCATGTGTCTTATGGCCAGACGTACGTTTGTCTCAGATATAAAGAATAATATACGTTTCTCGTTGCAAAATATTGTCATATTTTAGCATTGAGAACGAATTCACGTCGGCATACACGGATATCTACTAAATTGCTTCATTTCTTTCTTTAAAAAAATCACTATTTTATATTTTGGCTTTACATTAATTAATTGTCATGATTAAACAGGTACTATTATATGTCCACAAAGGCATGATCTTTGTTCGTCTTGCATAATCTCAATGAACGTTTATCGCATCGATCTACTCAAATAGTCAAAATACATACTTGTGTTGTGAAAATTAGTGTCCGCAGAAATTCAACGGACAATCCACTCCAAGTGCAAATTTCCAGATGCTACATAAACTTGCACGGCGATAAAAGCCTTTTAATCGACTCGACCGCACTTAGGTACGATGTTTTCGTTTATCCAGAAATCGCAATTTGAATAACTTTGCGCGAGCTGTACGTCTTGATCAACAATCAAGATTCTCTTCGCGCCCGACCGATCAGCCAGCGCGACTTGGCCATTCCACACATACTGGTTAAATAACTGTTGCATAACTAACAAATATCTCTTCTCCTCGGGCGTAACAGCAGTGTAGGTTCCTAGAATGGCCGCGGCGTCACTGTCAGGATCGGCCAAGTGCTGTCGGCGTGGTTGAGTGACTACGTAAAATGGTATGTTGGTGTTCATCCTGGCGAGCGTCAGTAGCGGGCATACTACACGAATATCGGAAATCATTGTGATCAATCCCTTCAACGTAGCATTGTAGTGCCTGGAAAATAGAGGAATGGTTCACTTACACACTAGATGCATCCAGAAGCACGATTGCTCGCTGAACACACAGTGAGCTTTTGTACCTGTTTGGTCTATATTTTTAGATCTAATGGAATATGCCAATCAGATGCAAGAGCTCACTGAGCGCTCAGTGAGCGGTCGTGCTTTTGGATGCACCTGTAGTAATTGCCCACTGCCAATCACAGCGACTTCTGCGTAGGGATTATTTATTTTTTTTTTCTGACGCGCGCGCTGTAATTAACTTGTATGCAAGTGGCGTGTGCAATTAATATACACGTGGAAAATAGTACACAATACGCAACGTTTACTATTACTTTTGAGAAAAAGATTTAAAAATAATCTAAATACACCACATCGACCATTAATCATAATTCGATCGCTTACCTCAGAGCTTTATATGTATAGCCTCTAATTCCGAGCAAGGATTCTCGTACGAGATTTTCGACCTGTGTCGCATTAAGAGTGACATTTGATGACAGGTATTGCAGCGGGGTACCGGAGTGCGCGGTGGTACCCATCACTACCTTTACCATAAGGTTGTCCTGTGACAAGATTTCACCGACGTGCTCCTGAACAATCGTTCCGTCCAAAACGAGCCACTCGTGTCTCCTTTTCATATAGATGCTTGAGTCTTCTTTCATTTCTGGCAGACCAACGGTACCTACGTACCACGTCGCCGGCACAACATCCATAAGCTCTTCGGCGCTCTTGCTTCTGAGACAAGCGGCGTCGCTGCAACGAATTGAATCAAGGAATGATCGGTTTATGTCTTCAGAAAAGTTTAATTCCCTGCCTGGAAAGATCGCGCTACCGCTGGATATCCACACTTGCGAGAAAAGGCTCTTAGCTCGACGATAGCCGATCAATGTCGTTGCAAGAGTGCCGCCTGCTCGATGTCCCCACAGAGTAACGGACGATTTATTGCCGCCGAAATTTTCAATGTTCAATTGTACCCACTGAAGAGCTGCTATGATGTCTGACAATCCATAGTTGCCCGATGTTGGAGGGTGGGTTGCTCTGGTGAGAGGCTCGACTGCCAAAAATCCGAAAATTCCCATTCTGGGGAATGTTATAAATATTTTAATTATAAAATATTTTTAATTATAAGCTATATTTTTAATTATTATGAGTATTTATTAACCCTAAATTATTATGTCTGGATATGGGAAATTTGAGCAAAAATTTCATTCAGGTAACAATGGTTTCATTGCTATTGGCTACGTTTACACCGTGC